CTCCCAGAGAAAGTGGTGGCAAGGCGAGTGAGAGAAATTCTGGACAGTAGCGGATTGTTTGATAAATTTCATCCTGGACTCAGCCACAGCCATGCTACTGAGGCTGCCCTTGTCAAAGTCATAAATGGTTTGAATGCCGCTGCTGAAAAGGAAGCCTGGCCTTGTTTGTACTATCAGATCTAGCCATGGGGGGGTTATTCTGTAAAAGGCTGGATTCTGTTGCAGTGCCTAGGTGACTGGCTAGTGTTGACTGAGAATGCGTTGAACTGGTTCCAGCGGTACTTGATTGCTTTCCCCAATCAACATAGTAGGGTAAATTCTCCTCGAGAGCAGCCAGTTTCACATAATGACACTTGATCCCAGGGAGAATTCACCAGCAGCCTGACTTAGTTGGCACTGATGCTTTACGCTCTTTCTCTTGCCTTTCAGAGAGATATATGAGATGCATTAGAGCAGTGTATTAGAACTCCTTTTTGGCTTTGTTGAAGAGGACTACATTTCTAAAAGTACCAACAATCAGATATTCGGAAGCAAAAGACTTTATTGTGCAGTCAAGATTATTAATAGAGATAAAACACTTGTTTGTACCTGTTAATTTGAAGTCAGACTTCTTTTTAAATATTATTTTTTAAAAAGAAGCCTGAATTCTGTTTCGAAATCTGGAGTGACAGTGCTGACACCAACAGATACATACAGTTGTAAATAACTTAAGAGGAGAATCTGACTAAATTGTCTGAAAACCAGAGGTCACTCAATAACTTTCTGTGGGACTTCAGTTTACATTCATGACCAGTAAGCCTAACGAAGAGACTCCAGTGCTTCTTCTGCTACTCTCATCCACTCCAGTTCAACCAGTAGTCTGGTACCATTTTAATCCTGTAGAAATTTTCTTTATTCTCTGGTTTCTCAAGCTGTAGCGAGGCTGTGATCTGCAGAGGGATTGCAAACCTTAGACCAAAGACCTGAAAAGGGGTTTAGCCACAGATCTTTCTGAATCTCGTCAGTGGGAAAACAGATTTGCTTCTCCTCAAGATGCCTCTCATCAATAACATATAGTATTTGAAATTAGCATCCAATGAGATTACCTGCAAATTCTCCAGTCTGAGATTATCACCAATGTAACTAAATAGGCCAAGCTGCAGAGGAAATTTGGATGAACCTTCATGTTTGTAACGGATATGGGTTCTCAGTGACTATAACTTAAGGGTCTGTAAAATCAGAATATGATTAACAAGCTTTTGTGAACTTCATAGATACGAAATGTGCAGTATGCAAAAGAGCTATCCTGAGTAATTAATTCATGCATCAGCTTTCTCATGTGTCTTCATATGTCCATGAGCTGAGGTAACCTGTTACCTTCAAGGAACCTATAGAAGAGGGGTTTTTTTCTGTTTTTTTACTTCATGACATAATAATTTAAACTAGTGTACTGGATTTAAAAAAGCAAATGATGTTCATGTGCAGTGGGAACTTAAAACTGAATTTGAAACCTTTCTTTCTCATTAAAAAAATGAGAAAATAATTAAATCCAAGCATGTCCTTATTTTGTTACTAAAATGGTATAAGAAATGTATGCAATGTACATAAACATACATTAAATATATAGGACATTTCAGCTTTCCATTTCCACCCAACATGCACATCAGTAATCTGAATAGGAAGTTTATTAACATGTAGTGATAAATTGAAGAATAGTATTTCATAGATGGCATAAAGAGATCAGAAATTGACTTGGCATGTTTATTAACACTATTGAACAAGCTCTGTTTAAGAAACTAGAAGAAAACATTCCCAATTAATCTTAATTTCTGTTAGTCATCCCATGATTTGTAAATCAATCTTGTACTTTTCCTATGGAAATACCTAAACATTCACATTGAGAATATATATGCTTTGCTTTAAAATGGCCTTTTAATAGTTTCTTTTTTATATTAGGCTTCCCAAAAAACAATAGGACTTAGTACAAACCGATGACTTCAGTTTTTGCACATTGCATTGTGGTTAACCACCCCATATAGCAGGGCCCTCAAAGCAGGCTTCTTGGTTCAGTAATGTGCATGCCTCTTGCTAATACCCTCATTGCTAATCATAACTCGGGAGAATAAACCATTTTACAATTAACTTATTTATAAGTAGACAATAATTACATTGTGTTATCTCACTTTGTTTTTACAGCCTCTTACCATGCTTCAAACAAGCAAATTAGACATACAGTGCTGGGTGATATATGGGAGGGAATGTTGCAAAGGACATATTTTAATGACCTGAGTTTGAAAGGATCTTGTAAAGGTTCATCCCTATGATCATTTCAGAGCGATGAGACCACTGTTTTGTTGATGTGCTCTGCTTTGCTTTGCTTTTTGGCACTTCATAGTAAACCGTCTTACCTAGGTCATTGCACAAGATGAAGAGAGATGGGAATTAACCTTAAGAATTCTTTCAGTGGTTCTGAAAACATAGTTATTTTTCTATATCAAGCTAACACTGTTTCACTGTCTAATATTTCATAATTGACCAAGACCAAATCCAGATGGTTTGTATTATTAAGATGATGTTAGCATCTTGCTGGGCACAGGAAGTATTTGCAGTAGGTTATGAGATACTGGGACGCAAACCTGACTGTAGTCCCCGTTCTGACCTACTGGCTAGAGTAAGATGGGGGGAAATTCCACTCTGAAGGAGAATAATATTTTAAAGAAAGTTGGAGCAAAGGAACTGTTTTTCTTCGTATCAGCAAGCTTTTTAGGGCAGAGGTCATTCAAAATTAGTCAGATTTTGAATTTTAGTTCCATCTAGTGATATTTAGCCTTCCTTCTCGTCAAAATAAGGTTGACTAACCTTCCGTTATGCAATTAAATGTCCTTGAAACTGTGTGCACTTCAGCAGAAGGAAACGGACTAAGTAAATGCACTGCCAAATAGCTTTATGGTCTCAAGGAAGTATATATGGCAGTCCTTTTCTGTCAAGGGGCTCCCCGTTGCTCCCACTGATCTCAGTTATGGATCTGAGCACGTTCTTACTGCTGTCAGCAAGAATTTTTGACTCATCCATCCCATTGACTTCAGGTTTTAGATCTGCATTTTCTCTGACTTACACAAAACACTTTTTTAAACAAGGGTGCTGAGAAATCCCAATTTCAAAAAAACTAGTTAGGATTGTGTACTTGTTTGGGCTGGGATAGAGTTAGTTTTCTTCATAGCCGCTTGTATGGTGCTGTGTTTTGGATTTGTGACCAAAACAGTATTGATGACACGGAGATGTTTTAGCTATTGCTGAGCAGCGCTTGCACAGCGTCAAGGCCTTTTCTGTTTCCCGCCAGCGAGTAGCCTGGGGGTGCACAAGCAGCTGGGAGGAGACACAGGCACAGCTGATCCCAACTGACCGAAGGGATATCCCACACCATATGACGTTGTGCTCAGCAATAAAAGCTGGGGGAAGAAGGAGAAAGGGGGAACGTTTGGAATGATGATGTCTGTCTTCCCAAGTCACCGTTAAGCATGATGAAGCCCTGCTTTCCTGGAGATGGCTGAACCCCTGCCTCCTGATGGAAAGCAGTGAATGAATTCCTTATTCTGCTTTGCTTTACCGATTAGTCTGTCTTTATCTCAACCCACGAGTTTTCTCACTTTTATCCTTCTGATTCTTTCCCCTATCCTGCTGAGGGGAGTAAGCGAGCGGCTGTGTGGGGCTGAGCTGCCTACCAGGGTTAACCTACAACAGATTGCTAAGTGGCAATAATACCATATAATTTACAACACCAAGCACTTAAAAGCATGAATGGTAAAACCATCAGAATTCATACTCTGACTACTCAGAAATAACTCACTTTCATTAGATAAGGGCAAAGGGATGGCACTGTGGCCAATACTAAGAAAACTATTTTGCAAGGCAAAACTTCCTTCTCTGAGCGAGACGAGGATATGGGAGTAACCACAGTACGAGCTGAGAAGAACCAGGACATGTTTTAGCTGAGTAGAGAAAGAAGGCGGCCATCTCCCACGTATATGAGACTGGAAGAATCTGCAGGGTCAGGAAATATGAAGACTTTTATGAGAGGCAACAACTGAAGATGCAAGGTTATGGCCTGAAATGACATGGCAAATGGCTATTCTCCACAGTGACTGAGAAAGGTGCGATAGGGAGAGTTTGTGGGAAGAGATGAAGAAATTTGCTTCAGTCATGAGGAGCTCACTGAGGTGGTGACCAGACATTTCCAAGGAGACATCAGTTTGTGTTTTCAGTTTGAATGGAAGTGGATAAGTCTGGATCAGAAACGGACTTGTGAATTTCAGCACAGAGACAGGAGTTGAAGTGGTGCCCTGCAGTCAGTAGGTCAGGTAGGTTAAGGAAGGGATGGAGTCTCTGAGATCTGTTTGAGGAGAAATCAATGGAGAAATTGGCACGAGCAATGCCAGCGGAATTGTAGCAGGCAGCCCAGCACCGAGTTGGAGATGAACTCCAGGCAGCAAAAGTAAACAGCACTCTCAGTGTGCTTACAGATAAGAGGGAGAAGGGGGGTGAGATGGTAGTTGTGGAGGCAAGCAGGGTCGATGCGTGTTTTCAAGGCGGAGAGATTAAACACACATCTGTTTTGAGAGGAGGGAGAAGCCAAGGCAAATGACAATGTACAGAGGAGGAGAAAAAGAGGTAAGCAAGCACCAGGGAGAGGAGAAGACGGAATAACTTGTCCCACTTAACACTTGCATCCGTTTTGCAGATCAAAACTGCACTAATTTGGGAAGCAGTTTATATAATCCATAAAACCACATTTTATTAGCTTTTTTTTGCTTTGAATCACTGACTTCTAAAGAATGAGAACAGCCATAAATGCTATTGTCTCCACAGGCAGCAATTTGGAAATAGAAGATGCATGGTTACATGATAAGTGTATTTTCTTCATTAAAAATGTTTGCAAATCAGGTTTAAAATAAGGGAAAAATAGCTTGAAAATATTCTGCACTTCAGAAAATAATAAAATGTCTTCTTATTTTCCCCGGTAGGCCACACAATGCAGATTACTTTATGCAGGAAGCTAAACGGAAGAAGCATAAAGCAGATGCAATGGTGAGAACATTTTCTTTCCAGTTATGTTGCTCCAAATTATTTTTGTAATGCAGTTTCTTCATCAGTGCAGTATTGCTGGGGTAATTATAAAATCTATTATAAGGATGGCTAGGCTTGTTAAATTAAGAAATGTTTATATAATCAGATGTTCATAGCCCAATAAACTATGACTTAACAAATAATGACTCACTGAGATAAAGGCCTGGATAAATAAAACTTTCCACTTATTCCTTTGCTTTAATTAGTAACTATAGTAATGGAGGCTGCGCAAGGGATCTACATACCTAATCTTCTCAGTTTAACTAGCTGGCTAGGTCCTATAATTGTATTCCCAAATTTGGTCTGGTGGCTGAGGTATTAGTACTTTTTTTAAAGAGCTTTGGCTCTTCAGTGCCAGAAGAATCCTGGTTTCATGGCAGACCTCTCCTAACATAATCAGAAGCACACAAGGAATCTGTGTAACCCTAGAGGAACACGTTGCACACAAAGGACTGTTGCAGCAAACAGATTCTTGGCCCTGGCTGTGACCTGTCTAAAAACGTAGCCGGTAAGACCCTCTTGAAAAAGGGGAATCTGAGGTTATATGGAGCACTGAAGAGATGCTTGTCTTCCCAAACAAATGGGTGCAACGAAGTACGCAGTGCTCCAGGAGAGCTCTGCTTAGCCATCTCTCAGCTTTCTCCAAGGCTACGTTTGTCCGGCACTATGAATAAGCTAGCACAGCTTCTTCATGTATTGCGTCTGCAATATATGGGGTGGGACCCTGCATTAATATGGCTGGCTTGCAGGTGGGAGTAGCTGCAGTCCTGCCTTGCTCTGCCAGACAGACACTTTGTTGTCACAGCAGCAGGAAACAAGAAAGGTAGCTCAGAGCCTCTGTTTCTTCACCTCTTTTTCTCAGCTGTGCAGAATGTAAAAAAGCCAAGGAAGCAGAAGCAGGCCCTTAATTTAGGACACTAACACTGAGTTTTACACTCTACCTGAGTTTATTAGCGCAAATTTCCATGGTTTATTCAGTTCCATATTGCTCTAAAGTGAGTCTTAAATCAGAAAAAATTGTGGAGAAGTACAAATGGTGCATTTTAGTGTGTTGCTTTAAACAGAATGGAAAAAATCACTTACTATGCAAAGGAAATTCTTAGCCTGAAGAGAAATGTTTTTATGGTAGACTCCCAGAAACAGGAGGCGCGAGCATTATTCTCTGCTCTGCTACAAGTTTTCTGCATGAGAGTCACTTAGGCACAGTTTAAATAGCCTCCCATCAGTGTTAGGTGATTGAGACATCCTTCCCATTCAGCTTCCGTACACAGTGGACCAGCACCTTACTTACACCTTGTGAATCACTCTTTGCAGGTACTTCCTCTCCCTCATTGACTGTGTAGGGATCCTGGAGGAATTGCCATATTGCCAAAGTGCCTCCAGGCACTTTGAATCACCTTGCTGGGCTCGATAGCTCCTACTTTGGCCCTGCAATACCTAACATAGGCACTTAGAGTGAGCAGCCTGAAAATTACTCTAAGTCTCTCTGCTCCTTAGTCCCCCATCTGTGAAATTGGGATAATAGCACCTCCACCCGCACAAGAGCATCGGGGAGAGAAATATAATAAAAAGTTTGTGAAGTCTCTGGTATGATCGCAATGGGAGTCATATAAGAACCTAAAATAGAGTGAAGCCAGTGTGCCATTCCAAAGTTACTATTTAAAATCTTTATCCCTTGGAAAAGAATAAGGTCCATTAACCTTTCACTGTGTGCATCAGATTTCAACCAAATGCATCCAGTCCATTAATGGGCTTTATGTACCACAGGAGTTCTGACTGAAGGAAAGAGAAGTCAGGACAGAGAGGTATTAGTATGACTCACCGCTATGCACATCAAAAACGAAATTCTGAGAGCAGATAAGTGGTATGTAAGTGTACACATATGAACATTATGTGCACGTTTGCATATACACCGTTGTTGAGGACATATATGTACGTATATCTGTATAAGTACACCAATACACACACAGAGTCAAAGAAGTACTGAAAATAGGAGAAGAAATGGGGCAAGGAAGAAGGATGGCAGGAGAAGCTGAGGGAGCAGAGCAGTCCCTGAAAGAGGAGGAGGATATAGAAAGCAAATTCCTGACAAGAGGTGACTGTGGTCAAGCAGTGCTGAAAATGGTAGGGATAAAGAAGACATGAGAACAGAGATGAGCCTTTGAATAAGAGAGATAGTAGTCAAAGTATTATTTCTGATTCTCTTAGTTCATAATAATCATTACCTTCGTTGAGTGATGACAAACTACATTTGCAAACATATGTGAAACCCTTTTTAATGAAAGCTGGAACAAAAGGCCTGATGAGTTTGTGGAATTTCCAGCAATTGGAAGAGCTTTGACAAAGATCAGGAATGTCCTAGGCAGAGTTGATCCTTCTTTGGACACAAGAGTGTGGACCAAATAGCATTTTGTAGCCTTCTTCAGCTCTACTTTCTGTATCTTATGATTTTCACTGATGCACAGGGTTTGATGGGTTTTAGCTTTCTTGAAGGAAAATTTGTGAATCTGAAGATATACCGACTTGCGTCAAGTTTACAATTGATGTTGAGAAAATCCCATCAAATATAACCATATCTTGATGATTACACTATTTCTCTGTGTCCTTATTTTTTTCCTCTAGGTGGAAAAGTTTGGAAAGGCACTGAATTATGCAGAAGCAGCACTATCGTTTATTGAGTGTGGAAATGCAATGGAACAAGGCCCAATGGAATCTAAATCCCCCTATACAATGTATTCAGAAACAGTTGAACTCATCAGGTAGGAAGGGAAGAGATGACCTCAGGGGTTACTCTGTTTGTGCAAACATGCTCATCTACATCATCACATAATTCCCTAGATACAGTGAAAGGGGAGAAATGAGGTCCTCCCAAGAGCCTGGTCAGTCATATGTAATATGTATGTATCATCTGTGATTTCTATGGAAATTAAATCAGGAAACTGTGTAGAATGCAAAAAAAAAAACCCAAAGCTTTTCATATTACTTGAGTTGCAAATTACTTCAAGAGTTTCATGGTATAAGTCCCGTGCTACTCAAAAGGGAAAAATAATAATACATAATACCAAAACATTCTCATGGAGTGCTAGTTTGCAAAATGTTGCAACATGTTTAAGACTGCAGTTTAATGGTTGCCTGAAAGAAGATGTGAACAGTGACAGAAAAATGGTCACTCAAGGTCCATTTGGTGTGTATGCTCCTACTGTAGCCAGTGGAGTCCCAAAAGCAGTCCAGCTCACACTAAAGCAGACCCCTATACTTAGTCACCTTCATTGCTCTCCAAACAGGACAGTCTAGAATTCAGTCCCACCCTCAAGTCCCTGTGAAGGAAGTTTGTCTCTTAAGTCCTTTCCTCCTTTGTAGTTGGTACTAATAGTTAACATTATTGACAGTGTCGGTAGAGAACACAAAGGTCAAAATCATCCCAGCAGCTGGGTGACTCTCTCCGCAAGAGAGCGAGCCCAGCCACACTAGGAGAGGAAGCTGCACCGTTAGTGCACAGTCAACCACGCAGCTCTTGTCAGGACTAAGTTCATAGGAAATAAAACATTTTAATTGTTAATCATATTCACAATGGAGCAAAGCTTCTAAAACAACTGCATTCTTTTGGACTTAGTGTTGATGCAATGATTTCCTCGCATGTTAACAATTCCATTGGCATTTTATTCCACTTAGGGCTGTCTTCTCATGCATTTCAGTGGATTGAGGCCAGCTTTCTAACTGGAAGGTTATTAAACAAAATCAAAGGTTTTCTTCAGTAAGAAATAGTACATCCCATCTCCGCAATTCTTCCCTTCTTCTTTTCAAAGGGCAGAAAGCTCTTTCTTTGTCTGCCCTGTCTTTTCTCATGATAGTAAATATACGGTCCTAACTCTGGAAATGAATTTTGCTTGCAGATCCATAGCTTTCAATAACGTGTGTAGCTGTGGTTGTGTTGTAGTGTGAATTGCTGTTGATCTCACTTGCTGCAGCTCAGAAAAATAAGTGGTTTACTAGGTATGCCTGTTGAAACAAAACGTTCATGCTGAATCTTTGCACAGGTATCAGGATTAAAGTTTGAAGGCAAAGATAAGAAAAAACACAAGCAGCTAATTATGGGGAACAGGTATTTTTCTGGAAGCGAGCCCAGAAGTGCTGTGTGTTGTCCTAACCTTGTCCATTGTTCACGTATTCAGCTGGAAGCTGAGATTTCCAGAAACTAATTTGTGATTGCATAGCACATACACTCTTGAAACAGCAGTGCTACCTCTGTGGATGTTTAATATTTATAGAATTTGAATGTAATGTCATATGAGCAAAAATAGCTCTGAGCCACATGTTCCCCCTCTGCTGTGCTCTGCTTGGAGGAGCAAATCTGCGTAGACACGCTCAGAACTGGCAGGGTGAGGGCAGCACCAGCTTCAAGGCAGGCCGTCTGTCTTGAAACGCTGTGGAAACCTTTCTGCATAAATTCTGTGTAACTGGGTCTCCACAGCAGCAGAGGTTATTTTGGTAGGACAGCATCACCTCGCCAGCTAGGCTCCCCTCTGGATTGACGGATGTTCAAGGGAGTTACTGCTGTTTAAAGAGTGCGGGGAGGCACTACTAATGGCAAAATAGCTCTGAAACACAACCAGAAAAAGCACGTGTATGTCTGATAACTTGAGCAAATATGTATAAGGGGGCAGGTCAAATGACATCGGCCAGCTTAGCGCTCTGATCAGTAATATAAAGCTGTCTCGGTTAACTCACATTGGCTTTTTTCCTTTTGCTTAAGGTACGCAGTGAGACTAAAAACCCACTCAGGCCCCAACGCCACGCCAGAAGACAAACAGCTGGCAGCATTATGGTTAGTAGATCAAGATTTCCTCAAAAGGCTTCTTTTCTGCAGTGAGCCAGTTCTTGAAAATCAGATGCTGGATGCAGCCAGACAGGATTATGTTGTCTATTGAAATTAAGAGAATACTTTCTGCTCCGGGAGGGTCCAGCCCTTGTATCACTGTACCAGGTCTGCATTCTGTCTCTGTAAATAAGCAATTCATACTTATTGAGCGTGGCAGGTCAGCTATGGTACGTCAGCATAATTAATTTTTAAATGCCTGATGGTTTGTTGTTTTTATGAGTGATGTACTTTTGTACCAATAGCTCGGTAATTTCTTTTGTGGCTGACATTTTAGGCTCAATAATCGTCTATTATATTTACGTTATATGAAGAGAGATACAGGGATGGTGATAATTAAGCTTCTTGGATTACCTTCTAAATTGAGATTTCTAGATATATACGCAGGCACCCTAGATCCTATAGGATGGTTGCTGATTGCTAGTAAAATACTCAAACGTTATTAAAATCGAATTTTAATTTAGTATCTATGTAGTTAATACATAAAATACCTATTACATGGTTACTGATTCTCAGTAAGTGGACATTTACAATCAGCAAGTGTGTTTTTAACATCTATTAACCATCTGTTAAAAATCCAAATTAAATGCATCTTTAGCCTCCATAAACAAGGAGTCCTAATTAATCATTTGTACAAAAAAGAACAAAATACTGAGAGACGCAATTTTTTTTCCCTCAATGCCCTTTCTTTGTCACCGGCTTGCTGTGCCACCGGGAGGAGCGCAGAAGGCATTCACGGCAGTTGCTTTAAAAACGCTTAGGTGGGAAAACGACTAAGGAACGGTTTAAAAAAAAAAAAAAAAACCCAAAACCCGTAAAGCCACGTTCCGGAGGGTGGCTCGGAACGGCCGGGGCGCTCCGGCGTGCGCGGAGCCGCATCCAAATTGGCGGAGCCGCCGCATCTGTCGCAGCAGAAAGGTCAGAGCGGGGGGGGGGGAAGCAGACGGTGCCTTCTCCGGGCGGCGAGTAGCAAATCCGAGCGCCCCGTCTGCCGGCCAGCGGATGAGCCGGCACCCGTTGCAGGTGCGCCGTACCTGTGAAGGTGACAGAGCGAGAGTTA